GATAGATAGATAGATAGATAGATAGATAGATAGATAGATAGATAGATAGATAGATAGATAGATAGATAGATAGATAGATAGATAGATAGATAGATAGATAGATCGACAGACATACAGACAGACAGACAGACAGACAGACAGACAGACAGACAGACAGACAGACAGACAGACAGACAGACAGACAGACAGACAGACAGATAGATAGATAGATAGATGAAGATGTAGATGTAGACGTAGATGTAGCCCACATGTAGATATTGATATGGATATAGGTCTAGATATTTATATGAATAGTAGATATGTGAGTGTACTACATATAACATAATTCCCGTGTGTAGGTTTCGAATACGTGGTTCGGGTGTACACCGGTGACTATGAGGGAGCGGGCACGGACGCGCAGGTATGGCTCATGCTGCATGGAGAGTTTGGAGACACGGGCAGGCGTCTGCTTAGCAAGTCAACCACCAATTCGAAGCCGTTCCAGCGCGCCATGGTACGACCGTGGCGCCATCGATGGCCGCTTCGCGTGATGCGCAATGAAGATTCCATTTTGTATTCGTTTCTTCACCTTTTCGCATTATTATATCTATAATTATATGACGGAGTATTGTAGTTAATTACAAATACGATTTACATATAGATACACAGGATTCAATCAATAATTTATATCGTGCTACAATAGCTTGCGATAATATATCGGATCTATATTAAACAACAGGTCGCGATAAAAAAAATTGTTAAAACATTTATATTGTTTGCACGTTTTTAAGATGGACGAATTTCAACTGTCGGCTATCGACCTTGGCAAGCTCGACCACGTGACCTTGGAACACGATGGCCACGGTCGAGGCGCCGGATGCTACATAAACAAAATTATCGTCAACGTCTCGCTCAACGACACCGTCGATCGCATCTTCCCGGTCAACAGGCGAGCGACCCTAACCTTCCCGTTGACATTATCATTCGTCCTTGCGGCTCCACTAGGACCAGGCGACTTCGAAACCTAACTCTAACCATGAGCTCAACTTTAACGCTAACTCTAACCTTAATCCTAATCCTAACCACAACGCGAACCCGAACCCTGATCGTATATCGATATAAAATCGAATCTGTTGTCTACTAGCCCCAGCGACTGAATATCCATGTCGCGGCACAACTGCTCATATATTATGCTTTTATATGCTATATATTAATTACATGCTTACAAATGCTTATATATGCTTATATATTATGCTTCTATATGCTATATATTACATGCTTACAAATGCTTATAATAATATTATGCTTATATATTATGCTTCTATGTGCTATATATACTACATGCTTACCTATGTTTATATGTTATGCAATCTTGTCACGCAGGTGGATCGACGAGGGAGCCGGCGACCGCAGACTCGACGTGAAGTGCCCTCTATTGGGAGATGTCGACACTAGCGAGATTATGGACGCCGCGGCCGAGTCTGGTCAGTGTTATCCTAGATGTCGTTCGTAACCAGCATCAACGTCTGCACATCAAAAATGACTCACGAATCGTGGTGTCTATAATTATTACCATTATAGTTATTGTATTAGTAGATATAAATCTTTACGGCTGCTATGCTCGGATATTTAACAATCGCAATAGCTCGAATTTATCATAAATAAATAAATAACATTGAAACATAAATAAAGGTTATTCGTAACCATGACGACAACCGCGTGTTTTCGCGCAGACGGCATGTGGACTTGCACGGTCATCACGGACGCCAAGGGTTGCCACGAGGTCGACCAATGGACGCTGATCGCGTACGGAGAGTTCGGCTGCTCGGCGAAGATCCGGCTCGAGCATCTGCTCGATAGCAACAATCCGACCAAGTTCGACGTGGAGCTCGGACCGACGGGTCGTATCTACAAGATCCGGCTGACGTACGAAAACGAGGACGACATGCACTTCCGCTGGCCGATCCGCAGCGTAAGTGTTTGCTCTCTCTCTCTCTCTCTCTCTCTCTCTCTCTCTCTCTCTCTCTCTCTCTCTCTCTCTGCTTCTCTTGTTCTCTCTTTCTCTCTCTCTCTCTCTTTCTCTCTCTTTCTCTCTCTCTCTTTTCTCTCTCTCTCTCTCTCTCTCTCCTTCTCTCGTCTCTCTCTCTCTCTGACTCTCTCTCTCTCTTTTTCTCTCTCTCTCTCTCTTTCTCATCTCTCTCTCTCTTTCTCTCTCTCTCTCTCTCTCTCTTCTCTCTCTCTCTCTCTCTCTCGCTGAGCTTCTCTCTTCGCTCTCTCTCTGACTCCTCTCTCTCTCTCTCTGACTCGCTCTCTCTTTTGCTATCTCTGGGCCGCCGGGGGGCGGGCGACTCTGGCTCGCTCTCGGCCGCGCGCTCTCTCTCTCCTCTCGCGTCGTCTCTCTCTCTCTCTCTCTCTCTGAGTTTTTCTTCACTGTGCTCTGGACGTCTCTCTCTGCCTCCGTCTCTCGTGTCTTCTCTCGCTCGTCTCTCTCTCGCCGTCGTCTCTCTCTTGGTCGCTCTCTCTTCTCTCTCTCGTGGTCTCGTCTCTCGTTCCGTCTCTCTCTGCTCTTGCTTGGCGCTGGCCTGTTTGTGTCTTGGCGTGGGGCTGGCGGGCGTGATGCAGGTGGGGACGTTTGTTCGCTGGTATTCGTGATGTCGGTGTTGGACACGCAATGCATCGGTGTTCTGGATACACATAATCGGTGATGGATACACTAATGATGCTGTGTTGAATACACGAATCGATCGGGTTGTAATATACACATGATTGTGTTGGATACACATGCGATCGGTGTTGACGATACACAATGATCGTGTGGTGTTGGATACAACATATGATCGGTGTTGAATACACAATGATCGTGTGTGGATAACACAAGGGATTTGCTGTGTTACATACACAATGATCGGTGGCGTAGACACAATGTATCGGTGTTTGGATACACATATATTCTGTGTTAGAACACAATAGATCGCGGTGCGTATCATACCAATCGATCCGTGTTAGTAACTACACTTATGATCGGTGTAGTCCGT